GGGCTTGAGTCTTGGATGTGTCAGGTCCCCTCGTGCCTGCGAGTGTGTCTGCGGGGGGCGCGTGCATGTATGTGTCTGCAGTATGAGCCTGTGAGTCTGAGGGTGTCTACGTGTACATTTTTTCCTCACCACTGCCAAATTATCTTCCCATCTCTCCCCTCACAAAGTGAAGGGCTGACCGAGGGAGGCTAGCAGAGGAGGGGAGAGGGGCTGGAGGGAAACCAAAGCAATTCCACTCGTCGGAGGAACATGTCAGCCAAGGATGAAACTGAAACCGAGGCAGCAGCAGCTCAAAGGCACCAGCACCCTGGGATGGTCCCGGGGCTTCGGTTCCTCCCACTACCCCGCCCCCTCCAGCCGGCTGTGGAGATTAGTCAGCCTGAAATTCCCATCCCTGCAGCCTGGACTTGGGGCTGAGGCAGTGACGCTAGGCTAGAACTCGGCTGTGGTTAGCACGTGACCCCATTAGCACCCATTATCACATTAACACAAATTAGTATATCAGATCCTCTCTGGGTCACCTAGTGGGGCACAGGGCCAGGCTGGAGGCAGAGCTCACAGCGCAGGCCCTGCTCTGGGAGAAGAAGCCACCGAGATGGCATCAAGGGAGGGTGCAGGCTGACGACTGCGGGTCAGATTGGGGACAGAAAGAGGGGGTTGGGGGACGTCAAGCTGTGCCAATTTGATCCTTTTCCTCAGTCGTGCTTTGGGAGGAGACACCTTGGGGAGGGGGCTGGTAGAAAGGAGGGGGTTTCCAGGAATAGCTGGGCACCGCCCTGTAGGAAGGAGGCCCGGGCTCTGAGGTCTGGGCAGGAGACAGACGGTATTTCTCCTGGCACACAGTGAAACCTGGGAACGCTTAGGATCCTTTGGGTTCCCCCCCCCCTTTCTTCTTCTTTATGGAAACTCTTTAGATAACTTTCTCAGATGGCATTAGACACCCTGAAAGCAGGAGAGCCGGATGGACCCAAAGGGGAGAAGAGGCACCCAGAGCGCTAGTACAGGGTGCAGCTTTTATTTTTTGGCACAGAAAAGGGGGACACGCTCTTCGCATGTATTTTATATGTAAAATAGTATCACAGAAGGGGCCACTCCAGCCTCTGGAAATGGTGAGGTTGGAGCCCCCCAAAACTCCCCCTCCCAGCTCAAAGGTGTCTAGCCACAGGTTATTTTTGTGCCCTGATATTTTCAATACGTTAACTAAACCACACATAACCATGAACCGCCATGCAGAGGTCCAACGCAGCATCATGTCTTTTAGAGCTCAGGGCCTGCAAGGAGTTAGGACACAAAGCTCTAGCTACGAAGACCAAGGTTGCAGGTTTGAGCCCCAGATGAGCCTCTTAACTTTTTTTCTTACATAGCTGCAGAAGACCGGATTGACAAGCCCAGAACCCCTAACCGTGACTCAGGCTGGGCCTCTAGCCCTCATCCAGGCCGAGCCCTGGCCACAGTCTGTATCCCCGTGCTGAAGCTGCATTCTCGGTCTCAAGGGAGCCGAGCTAGAGAGTCCGCTGTTCAGGGAAACCCACCGCCGACGCCCGAGACGCGACTCAAAGTTTCCATTCTACTGCCCCCGGGTCAAGAGAGCCATCCCAGGAGAGCAAAGACAGCCCCGAAACCGCAATCCCTTTGCTGAAGTGAAGAGCCGCCCGAGCTCTGCGGGGCCTGGGGGGCGGCCCGAGAGACTTGGAAGAAGCGCGCACGAGCCCGCCCCCGGCCCCGGGCGCTCGAGCCGCAGGACTGCTCTCCCGCCACTCGGGTGGGAGCGCGGCCTTCTCTCGAGTGCGGGGACCTGCCCAAGGGGCAGCGGGGGCTGCGGCGACCCGCCTCGCCTTTCCCTGGCCACCCCCTTTCTCCGCTCGCGTGCCTTCAAACCCGGATTCCGGCGGGCTCAGCGCCCTCGCCCCGCTTGCGCGGCGCCAGGGCGCCTCTACAGCGCCACCTACAGGCGGAAGCACGCGGCGTCTCGGGCTGCGGCGGGAACTGAGGTCCTGAGAGGAGCAGGAGGAGGAGAGGTCGGCTCCTCTGCCCGGAGCTTTGCCGGCTGGCGCGCTGCCTCCCCTCGCCGCCCCAGCCCCGAGCCCTGTCCCTGCGCGGCGCAGGCAGCCGGTGCTCCGACCTCCCACTCCTGCTGCTGCACTCTGAGCGGCCTCCTGCCCCCGGCGCCTCTTCTCGGGAAGCAGTGAAGTCACACTGTGCCCGATCCGCTGACTCATGAGAATGAGAACCCTCCCTGCTCCCCGGCACACCCCTTGAAACTTCCTCTCGATCCCTTCTTTCCTGCTCCCGCTCCTCCCCCTTCCTCCCGTCCCTTCAGGCGAACTAGGGAAGCTCTGGGCTCCCAGGGAAGGATTCGGTGGGGCCCCGGGAGGGAAGTGGAGGGCAAGAGCCCCCGCGGAGACCTCGGAGCTTCTGTCCAACCTGGCCACCTGTGCCATTCTGGGGCGCACAGAGAATGCCCAGGAGGGAACTGCAGGTTTGCAACATTGCGCAAAGCTCTCACTAAGGTATCCTTTGTAATTAGCCACCTCATCCAGGGAGCATGTGGAAGGGAGGGCCTCTGGGGATCCTCTTCCCTCCTCAGGTGAACTGCCTGGGGAGTTTACCAGGAGCTGAGGTCTCTTTATGGAACTTCCTGTTTCAATGAACAGGGGAGCACGCAGGTTTGCTTCAGGCGGGACTTGGAACGGCTTGTGCCACCAAAGGCACAAATGTGAAGTGCCCAGAGCCTTTATCTGTCCTGGACCCCAGCATTAAATCATACTGATTACTTGAGAGGTCGCTGTGACCCCTCGTCCTGGAACTTGGTTGTGGACCAGTTCAAGTTGGAGGGTGGTGACTTTGAGGCCAAGGATTCCCAGTTTTCACTCCACGCCCTTGTGCCACTAGTTTGAGGACAGTGGGAGGATGAGTGGATTGGCTTGTCTCATCACCCCTCCGCTGGGTTACTTAGAATATTAGTTTCAATAAAGTGGCTGAGGGCCTCAGGCCCAGGCCAGGGAAGGCTTCAAGCTGGAGGAGCTGTGCTAGCCTCCGAAACACCTAAAGCTCTCCTTTCCTTCCAGAGGATCATGGTCCTTACACATCCTTTGCCACCCAGCAAATCATGGTACTGGATTGTCATTTTTTCCCTATGTGCAATTTCCTTTTGTATGGTAAGAGCTGGGTGCTAAAGTTTGCAAACTTCCTGGCTCACGTGTCACTGCATTTCAGGGCACAGCTCTGCCAAGGCCATGGTCAATGTGGAAATGGCCATGGACTAAGAACAAGGAGGGTGTAAGGGCTGGTCTTGGGGCTTGGGGTTTATACAGCATGAGGAGGTTTTCTGAGCTTCTATCTTGGCATCAAGTTGAGAGCTGCCCTGGGTTATGGTGGCTGTCCGCCCGCCAGCTCTGCAGGGTGTTTGTTGGGGATTGGGAGCTATTAAATGGCTGGGTAGGAATGTATGTGCTAGGATCATGGCTGAGAATAGTCCCACTGTTAAGCTTTCCTGGGGGAGATTCTGGGTTCGAAGCCAAACTTTAGCTTAGGGGATGAAGGATGCCATGTTTCACGGAGCCCAGTTTTGAAGCTGTCAAACTTTCTATGGTGAGGAAATAAGGCAAGGTGCAGTTTCTAGGGGTCCTAGGTCCAGATGTAACTCGTTAGGTCAAGGAAGAATCCTAAGCCATAAATCCAAAACAAAAACAACAAAACAAAAGCAAACAGAAAACCCCCCAAAAACCTGTAAATCTAGTTGGCCAAAGGGACAGCAGAGGCATGGTGGGAAGATGGTCACCAAGGGCTTTGGATTCCATTAGCATCTGCTCTAGACCTTAGAGATAAACCGCAAGCAAGGCCATGGACAAATGAAGAAAGTCCTGCGCAAGCACCAAGAGACTGTTCCATACACAGCAGGTTAAGGCTGAATGTGGAAAGATTATCTAGTCTATTCCCCGTATTTGATGGATGAGGAAGCTGAGACCTAGAAAAGTAGCCACCCAAGGCCATCCGGGTAGTGAGCGGCAGAACTGAGACTGAAACTCAGAAGAGTGTTCTTTCCACTGTGCTCCACTGCTTTGGGAGGAAAAATGTGAGCAGGGAGCACCTCCTGGAACCTGAGGAAGAAACACAGGGAAAAGGAAAACAAGAGGGGAAGACCGCAGAAACTCTGAGAGTAAAGAGGGAGAATGAAAGTCCTGAGGAAGAGTGAAAAGGGAGATGTGTAATCTCTGGGCAAAAGGAATGCCAGCTCCATCGTCCATTAAGCATCACACTCTCTCTGTTTTGTTCCTAGTAATGACAGAGAAGATACAACCACTGAATGGGGGGAGGACCATGGTTTGGTCAGTGAGAGAAAAGCCTAGATTAGATAGAAGCAGGACAATAACACAACCGGAGAAGCAAGGAAGTTCCAATCAAAACTCACACATTGTACTCCCAGCACTTAGGTTGTGCTGAGAGTCCCTCTTGACTTGTCTGTGGCTACCACTAGGTTATAAAGCCATTGAAGGGACTATATAGTACTCATCCTCCTGTCTCCAGGGCTTACCACAGTACCATGGCATGCAGTAGTTGCTCAGAAAGTTTAGTAGAAAATGTTATGTAAATTAATACATTCAGGTATGTGTGTATATACTTATAAATTCAATACCCATGTTAGGTGCTCCCTGAGAAACATCTCTGTGTTGCACTGTGTTGTAAATGCCAAGACATTCTAGGTGGGAACCTGCCTGGGAAGCTGGGTACCTCTGTCTGCTGACATGAAACAACTCCTGGGCCTTCCCTAACTGAGACACAGACCTCAGAAGCTCCACTGGGACCAGGTAAGGTCTGCAGGAAGGTCTGAAGGAAGGTACAGACAGGATCAGGTAACATTCACTGTTGTCTCTGCTTGGTAATGGACCTCCAGAAGAGATATGGGTTATTTTTGTCCAAATTGTCAATGCCCTTCAGCCAAAGACCACCAGGAACACTTTTGTGATTGAACAAGTTGGGTTTATTGCTTATTGCAGCAAAGGAGAAGGTACCCTGTGGGGAACCATGGGGTATCTCAGGAAGAGGGTTCTAGAAAGGACTTGTTATAGGATTCTAGTTAGGTTGGGGGACTTGGGGGAGGGTTTAAGGAAGCCAGGCTTTACTCTGGATTGGACACTGCCAGAAAGCAGGGGTAATTCTATGATTGGATTGGGTACCTTATTAAATAAATCTTATCCAATAGGAGGGCGGACTACAGCAAGGCAAAAGCTGTGATTAGTAAGGAAGAGCAGTCACTCAGACTAGCCAGGATGGGGGGGTGTTTGGTTATTTGTGAGGTTTGGGCAGTGTTCATGCTTTTGTCCATGTTCACATGATTATGGAGTAGTCTTGTTTTTGTCTCAACTCACCATGGTGACACAGTGGCCTTGCATGATGCTGATGTCCTGTGAATCTATGTTCAACAGAACACCCAGACATAGCTGTGAGTGCTAGGCCAGTTGGTAGCCACACCAAGGCCTTGCCAACAGTACCAGGCCAGCTTTGGGATGTCAGGGGCTGCTTTTCTTTCTCCAAATGTTCATTTTGAGATGATCCCTGGTTTCCAACAAGGGCTTGGCAGTCCAGTGTCTAAATATTTAGACCCTCCCTGTACTCTGACCTAGTCACACCCATCTGTAGAACCAGCCAGGCAGGGGGACGTCATCACTGGCTTGGGCTGTGTGTGTCTGTGCCCGCCAGAAATTCCCTGATAAGATGGGAAAGAGGCCAGAGGCAGTCCTACTTCACCTCTGGGCCCAGCAGGACTTCCCCTCTGCCCAGAAAGCAAGGCACTGGGATCGACTCCCAACAATCTCCAGGGCAGCAGGGGTGCCCAGCTTTAGGTGGAGTCAGGGAAGGACGTACAGACGGGATATCGCAGCAGCCAATCTTGAGAGGAGCGGGAAAGGGAAGGGGTAGTGGTGGAAGGGAGGGGAGAGTTCCTTTGTATAAATGGGTCTCTTGAGAAGCTGCTGATTTTCCTTCAAGGAAGCAGCCTGCAGTAGGTCACCGTGGATGCCCACCCCCATCCCTTTCTGTTTTAAGCCTCTTGTCTCCAAAACAGGCCCTGTTGATTAGAACAAAAAAAATCGTAAATGTTGATCTCATCCTTTACTGAGGCTTAATTTAACCCCTTTCCAATAAAATTTTCTTCCCTCAGTTCCATTTCTCCAGCTTTAAAATACTGGGACATCTCCTGCTGTGCCTTATAGGTAGCCAGGCAAAGTCTAGGACCATCACTAAATGGTGCCAGGGACCATCTGATATCATTTGTAAAATGGCAAAGCAGAGTGGGGCTGAGGTCAAGTGGGTGGGCTCCAGACACTTGCTACTTTGGCAAAGCCTGACTCTTCTGCCCAGGGCCTGACTAACCCTGTACTGCACTGTGGTGGGGCCCAGCTAATCACAGACCAGCTACCAAGGGCCAAACCTCAACTGGCACTGCTCGTCTATGGAGTCAGAAATCAGACCCTGTGATCCTTGGGGGCTATGGCAGATTAAACGTGTCCTGGGTTAAGTGGCAAGTTGTGGCAGTGGGTGATGAGGGTCTGAACATGAATTACGGATATCAGAGGCTACAAGACAGAGGCTCATTTTTACAGTCAGCCCTGTTGCCTAGCATTATTCAACCAATCAATCAATGGCTCAGCACTTCATCAGGGTTTTTTTGGGGCATGGCACGTGGGTCCTATCCTGAGGACAAAAACACGGTCTCTGCTCTGGGATAGCTTACAATCCCTGGTAAGTTCAGTTGGAGTTTGGAGATGAGAATTGTGCATGGGCACTAGTCTTACTGGTACCATGCCACCAAGATAGGACTTGATATGGGCCTTGAAAAATGAAGCAGGATTTGGATAGGTGAAAGGGAGGAGAGATGGTGTTCCAGATGTGAAGAGCATGAACACAAGTTTAAAGGTGGCAATAAACCAGATGTGTGTGCATGTGTGTGCATTAAAAGTCACAGGAAAGGGGACCGGACAGGCAGAGTGGGCTGTGATCACAGACTGTTGTGGAAGACTTTGGATTTAACGTGGTTGGTGACAGGGAGTCACGGTACATTCTTAGGGAGGAAACATGGACCAAGTGGTGCTTTGGGCAGTGACCTAGCAGCAATAGTTGACTAAGAATGGCTGCTCTGGTTGATCTCCCCATTCTTGGCATGTCCACAGTACTTTGTGTGTCCTTCTATGGACATAGCTCACTGTATTATACTTCTGCACCCACGTGTCTGCATTCTTCACTGACACCAGGAGGTCCTTAAAAGCAGTGGCCATGCTTTATCCATCCTCCTATTCAGGCATCTACCTGGCTCACAGTAGGCACTCAATGAACATTGATTAGATGAACAGATCATTTAATTTTAATTAACTGAATTATACTGACATACCATACAAGGATAATCACTATCAAAGAGCTAGACTTAATTGCACATAACACTAAAACAGGACAAATCACAATTTGGTCTTTTAAAAATGATTTGTGAAACATTTTAGGATCACAGAATATGCTACCCCCATCTTTGTAAGCAGCAATTATTGCTGTATAATAACTTCTATTTCATAGGATACTAGAGTTTTCTACATAGGGATTTTTTTTATGCCCTGGATGCACTAAGAGGATCTACATATGGATTTGGATATGTCATGCAGCAGATTGTATTCTACTAAACCTGTATCTGTATAGTAAGAACCTGTTCTAGTACCTCTAATTCTTACAGTGGAGATTTGGCCTGTTCTCCTAGTGTGTTCACAAGGGATTTGGTTGAAGCTGCAACTCCCTTTAATCAAGCCCAGTATTTTAAAAAAAATCCAGACTGGTAATAATTTTCTCTTTACATGTAGAAAGGTTCATAATAGGACTTCTGAAAGTAGTAAAAATTTCCTCTTAAATAAGATTTGATTTTTTAAAAGTAATTTAAAATGCCAAAAACGAGTTGACTTATGAAACCCTGAACTGTGTTCCTAGGAAATCATCTGTAAAGGGAGGTATGCCTATAAGCATATTTTAGAGAAAAGGAGTTAAGAGAACGCAGATTTACAGTATGGGGAGGGGACAGCAGGCAGAGGAGTTAAGAGATCACGATCCCTCAAGGAGATGGCTCCAGATTTAGCTGCAAAGCATCCTGTCTCTGAACTCCTCTATTTGCAGTTAATATCATTCTGTCCCCTGTAGAATTTAGTTCTGGGACAGGAGTTGTTCCAGGTAAAACTGAGTCTATCCTATATGTTTATTTGTTCACTCATTCAGCAATGATTTATTAAGCACCTACTATGAGCCAGACCCAGTGCTAAGCTCTGGAGATATAACCATGAGCAAGGCCTCCATGCCATGCCTCCTGCTTCCAGGAAGCCATTGGGCTAGCAGGGAGACACAGAAACAAGGATCAGGCTTGGAAGGATCAGGAAAGTCTCCAGAAAGATAGTGACCTTCCCAAGAGGAGAGGAGTCAAGCATTATGGGCAGAGGCCATAGCAGGTGCATGCAGAGAGGTCTGGAGGGGTGAGAGGAGTTCACTCCTCCGGAAATGAGTTTAGAGTGTGGAGTAGGGAATGGTTGAGAAAAATTATGTTCTTAGTAGCTGCTACAATTTTCTTGCTCTCTAATATGCATAGCTTTTCTCCTTCACCCATCCGCCCCCTTTGAAAGAGAACAGAATTTAATTTAGAAGAATCAGATTTTATTTTGTGATGTGAACATTAAGAATTTGCCTACATGGTTGAAAATATTCGCAAAGGACTTGATCATTTACACTCATACGCACAGAGTTTGCCAAATAAAAAATGCTCCTTTACCCATCCAGCCAGCTATCAGGGACAGTGATGAGCTTGCCTGTTCCACAGTGGGGCTTCAGTCTTCGTGAATATTGAATAGTTTGGCTACTTCATTGAGATCTTCATGTTGCTCACCGTCCTTAATGATCTGAGGGCAAGAGTAATAATAGGCCCCTAACTCACTCCGTGTGCCCTCAGGCCAGGCCCGCACAATGGGGCTTCCAGGGCCAGTCCCTGCATCACACTGGGAGGGAGTTGTGAGAAAGGCTTTCTACTAACCCAAAATGAGCAGCTTGTCAACTCCCAGGCCACCCAGCCAAGTCCTAAGTAAAAAAGAATGTTCCTGAGCCAAGGCTATACCTTTGTTCTGCTCAGGCACAATTTGACCTCGGTGGAGAATGCATCTCAGGGCACCTGATGAAGTCACAGGAGCATTTTCCGACCCACACTTTCCATGTCCCTCTGAGAGTTCTGACAAGTACCTACCTTCCTTGCTATTGGCATTCTGTTAAAGATGTTCCATAGCACGATCCCCACGACCACTTTGTCCCTGAGGTAGAAGATGACACCTTTGCCGTAGTCCTCCCCTTGGACAGGGGCCTGTGGAACTGCAGGAGTGCTGGGAGGAATAGCAATTTCTGAGGCCTCGGATTCTGTCTCACTCTCTGATCGGATACCAGTCCCTGTGGCCAGCCCCCAAAACAAACATACAATATCAAAACTTCAATTATGAGCTTAGGAAATTCTAGAAGGCAAGTGTCTTTCAAGACCTGCTTCAAGCTACTTCTAGATGATTTGTTTATCTATGCCCCCTCAGTAAGCCCTGGCTCTCTCCAGCCCCTCTGCACTGACAAAACCAAGGAAAGTTCTTCTTTGCCAGCTTCTGGCATTGGATGAGTCTGACCCCAAACTTCCCTCCCTTACTATCTCATTTGAATTTATGCTGTGGATATTTCCTGGTATCTGAATTTCTTCAAACTGCAGAAGACTTGATCTTGTCCTCTGAGAAACATTCTAGAGCTGCATGGTCCAGTACAGTAGCCACTAGCTACATAGAGCTATTTAAATAAACATTATTTCAAATTAAGTAAAATGTAAAATTCAGTTCCTCATTTGTACTCACCACATTTCAAGTGCTCAATAGGTACATGTGGCTAGTGGCTAATGTACTGGACAGATTAGAGAGAGAACATTTCCATCATAGCAGAAAGTTCTATTGGACAGTGCTCCTAGAGAGACACTAGTCAAAGCAGAAGGCACTTCCACATGGAAAAACCCTAGTGGAGGTGTTTCCTCCTAGAGGAGGAGGGGGAAAAAGGCAGCATGGGAAGGGTACGACTTGTCTTCTGAGAACCACCAGCCTTCGAATAATACTGCCCAGTGGACAGAGCAGTGTCCTGAATCCACTTACCAGGAGAGATCAGAATTAAGGAGTATGGAATACGCCCAAATTATACAGAAAAAGGACCTACATATTCATATAATGTCTTGCTTTCTCCTTCTTAAAGAGCGACTTGCCCTAGAAACACCTCTGGCAAAAGGACACAGAGGTTAAATAACTTGAGCCAAGGTCATAGAATAAGGCCTAGGAGTTAATGAAAGAGACGTGTGTGGGAGAGAAGTCCATTCCAAGAGAGATGCCTCCCATCTAAAGAAAACCTGGCATTAAGATCTGACGAATGGAATTAGAGGCAGCTGAAGAAATACTCAGCCTAGTTCTCCACTGCCCAGGGCCCATGGAGGATAGCAGGTCCTAAGTTAAGGTTCTCATGTCTGGTTCTTGAGATTAGCATGAAGCAAAAACAAACAAAAAAAGAAGAAAGAAAAACACAAAACCAAAACCTAAAAAGTTCCAGTTTTCTTGTTTTCTTCATCAGATAGGCCTCCCTATCCACTAGAGATGAACTAAACAAGAGTTGTTGAGCCAGCCACTGTCTACTGTCTAGGATGGATACCCACAATATTTGAGTTTATGCTTTGACCAGGATACCTGATTTTGCCAGATTTCAGACCACTAAAGAGGGAGGACTTGGGTTTGGTTTCTTTTAAAGCACAACATGAAGAGAGGCTTTCACTGACAGCTCCCTCTGGTTAGTACAGAAACCCCTTGTTCAGGAGAATTTGGACCACTGCTTCTCAACACTCTTCCAAGAGAAGTGGTTGGGTTTCCTTACCTGACTGCTCCGTGGCAGATTTTGGGTTGTCTTGTGCAGTTGCTTTTGCAAAAACACCGACTGTGGGCAAACTACTGTCCACAAGACCAATAGCTTCATAGCCAACATCAGGACCCAAATCACTCCTAAGGAAGGAAAAAGAAGAGAGTGTTCTGTCAAGGGACAGTAAGGAATGACATGGTAGCACATATTCTTCATGACACTACACTCTCATGCCAACCAAAGAACTTACTATGTGTAACAAGAGAAATGCCAGACTAATCTGTCACTGCTAGAGCATCTGGGGACAATTATGAGAAAGCAGGATTAAACCAAACAGCTGTTATTTGTCCTGAAGAAGCTATTCTCCATACCTCATATCCATACAAGGATCTAAACTTTCTTAAATTTATTCATGCTTTTATCCCATGCCACATTTGGGAAGTGACAGGTTTCCCACTTTCGCTATTCACTATCTTCCTTTAACTCATCTTAAAGCTGCCTTTTTGAAGCTTTAAAGAGTGTTCCATACTTAGGAATTCAGAATTTGAGATGTTTTATGGTTTCACTGACCTACAGTATTTCCCCTTGGCCTTCATTTCTTGAGACTGGAATGCTCTCCATAAAGAGGCACCTTCATCCACTTGGTCATTTTGTTTTAACTGCTCTTCTTGGAAACTATCCCTATCATCATTGCACCTTTCTTAATATGCTAGGAACTTCACAGAACATTTGAGGCACAGACACATTATTACCATGCTTTTTTGTAATAATCTAGGATACCCTAGCTGTTTTGTTTCTGGCACTCTACCTCTTGTTATCTTTTTGGCTGCAGTAGCTCACTGGACTGGTGCCTTCAGGGAATAGTCTGCAATGACTCCTTGGAATCTGTTCTAGGCTCTTACTGATAATTGTACAATTATGGACTATTTTTTCCTAACTTCACTATCTTACATGTGTTGACCCTGAAATCCATCAGTTAGTTAGGTATGTATTATGTATGTATATATGTATTCATGCATTCATTCATTTATTTTAGAGACAGAGTCTCGCTATGTTGCCCAGGCTGGAGTGCAGTGGCATCATCATAGGTCACTGCAACCTCGAACTCCTGGGCACAAGCCATCCTCTTGCCTCAATCTCCTGAGTAGCTGGGACTACAGGTACATACCACCACACCCAGCTAATTCTTAAAAATTTTCTGTAGAGATGGGGTTTCACTATGTTAGCTGGTCTCGAATTCCTGGCCTCAAGCAGTCCTCCTGCCTCAGCCTTCCAAAGTGCTCGGATTATAGGTGTGAGCCACTGTACCCCACCCTGTGTCTGTTATTTTTTTGCAGCCCACTCATAAAACTGTGTGGAACTGTCTTAAAATGTAATTCCGTCAGGTGAGAATATCTCCAACAGAAACCACTTAGAGGCTTCTGAAACTTTGAAGTTTTTATGTACTCCATCTTTCAAATCATGAGATGAATGTGTGTCAAACAGGGCCAGCCTTGGCACTCAGAAATCGCCACTGCTAACCTTCCTTTATCCAAAGAACTGCCTATGTATGCCTGACTTTGCACTGCTGATAGTAAGGGTTACATATGAATAGGCTGCTTTTCTTCCAGCATGTTGGGTTTGTTAGGGTTACTAGCAAAGAACAAATTAAAATATACTGCTGTCTACACCTAAGAGTATACTTTTGTACCACCTACTATAGCTCAAACTCTATCTTGCCAGAAGTGCTGGTGCCATCTCCATTCATTTACCTGGTCTAACTTACGTCAAACAGAACACTTTTATTTTATGTGAGACAGGGTTTTGCTCTGTTGCCCAGACTGGAGTGCAGTGGCACAATCATAACTCACTGTAACCTCAAATTCCTGGCCTTAAGCCATCGTCCTGCCTCAGCTTCCCGAGTAGCTGGGACTACAGGTGTGCACCACCATGCCTGGCTAATTTTTAAATTTTTTTGTAGAGACAGGGTCTCGCTATGTTGCCCAGGCTGGTCTTGAACTCCTGGCCTCAAGGGATCCTCCTATCTTGGCTTCCCAAAGTGCTGGGATTATAGGCATGAGCCACCATGCCTGGCCCCAAACAGAACATTTTTTACCAGATGGCTACTTGGGGGTAGAATGTGTGAACATAAGATGGAATTTTTCCCCCTCTGTATGAAGCTAACTGGTCCACAACAAAACCAAACCATAACTCTGTGCTATGGTCCTAGTGATACTGCGTTCTAGCCTACTGAGTTCCCACGGCACACCACTAGTACCAGAACATTGACTGATGCCAGTATGGCTTAGCAGCTCCGGTCATATTTTCTCCAGCCAATCTTCCGCTCACAACAGCGTGATCGTGGTGCTCTACCCGCCTCCTCCCCAACTTTATGTCGTAGAAGCATGCAGCATCTCCTGCCTTTGGAAACAGATACACAACATGAATACATGATAAAAAAGCAAGTTAAAGACAAAATACAAACTTTTGGGGCTCAAAGAACCCTTGCAATGGTAACTAATGTTTTTCATCTACAGGCCAGAATCATACCTACACTATCAAAAACAGCTGAGATTCCATTTTTTAATAACTATTCTGCTTCCACAAAGCTAACCTAAATCTTCTATGCTTCAGTTTACTTATACCTATTTCTTCTCCTTCTGTCCTTAGCAGACAGGATATTTAATAACCACGACTTGCAGAATGCTCTTTTCTGTATGTGAAAATCGGTTTTTAGATATGACTGCCTCTCACCTAGAAATCTTGCCCAAGATAAGATTTCTTTCTGTCATTTAGTGTTCATTCATTCGGCAAATATTTATGGAGTACTTAGTATACACAAAAGCATTATGCTGTTCGGGCAGCTGAGACAAAACTGACGTGGACCTTGCCTACAAGGAGTATATGACCCAGTATAGGAAGCTGGAGCATTGTTCATAACTACAGTGCAATGTAAACAAGTAATGAGCCACATGAGAGGTACAGATTAAACGAGCTAAGTGTTTCAGACAAAGGGAGAGAACCCCCAGCTGGGGGTAAACAGGGCCAGCTTTATGAAGGATGTGGTATTTGAGCTCTCTAACCCTTTGTTCATCTTTGTGGCTATTCAGACTCCCCCCAAAGCAACCTAAAAATCCAACAAGTAAGCAATGACAAAATAAACTATTAAATCCACTTAATAGAATACTATATAGTCATTAGACTGTTTACAGAGTCTGAAGCAACATGGAAAATGCTTACATTTATGATGTTAAGTTAAAAAGAGCAGAATACAAATGTTTATACATAGTATCCTTGCCATGACTGTGTAAAACAAACAAAAAAACCTAACGTGCAAGAAAACAAAGGGAAGGAAATATACCCAAAATATTAATAGTTTGCTGCAGGTGATTTTCCTTCTTTCTCCTTGCCTGTATCTTCTACATTGAGCACATATTACTTTTATAACAGGTTAAAAATTATAGTACATGTTATCTTAAAAAAAAAAAGGAAGCTTTGCAGGGGAAAAAAAAAATCCCTCCAAGGCTCCTGTGCCCTTGCAGAGGAGTTGCAGAGTCCATAATCAAACACAATACACTTGTAACTAGCAATGGGGAAATTACCTCATGGTTCCCACACACTATACTCTTATTTGTGTCATAATAGATTTTTAAAAACAGCTAAAAATAGTACTCAAGGAAAATGGAAACAGAGTAATTTTCCTTTCTAGGGAACATATTAGAAAACTACTTCATCCTCCATCCCCTGGACTCATGCTTGAGCAAAGAGAACAGCAGATCCATCTGAAGGCTGTGCATGCACCCACCAGGGGTTGTGCCAACAGCTGGCTGCTGCCAACACGTAGAACTGAAAGAGCTTTACTCCTGCAGGCATGCACACTGTTCATTTCATCTTCCACCAGCTTGCAGATGAGGCCATACCTGGTCTAAACCAAGCAGTTCACAAGTTTCTCTTCTCTATCCCCTCAGCCTCCAAACACTTTGACCCTATTTGGTTAAGCTGTCAATGCACGGCAGGCTTGTTCATAAGCTGGGGACAATGAATCGTGCCCAGTCATGCTGTAGCACACTTACCACCCAGATGTTAGAGCGTGCTTGTAGCTCTGCATTTACCCGGAAGCCACCAAAATCTGAGTCTATTTCCAGCCCACCAGTCTTGGCCAACTCAACATTGGGCTCCAGGCCCACAGCTGCCACGATGTGGTCAGTTTCTACCTAAGGCAAAAAGAAATAATCCAGCCAATTACCATAGTTCCACTTATACCTACGGACAGAACAAGTGGCCATCATACCATTAAGAATTGGGGCTTTAAAAAATCATGGTTTAACTTACCTCTGGTAAATAAATTTTAAGTTCTATGTCATAAGCCTCCTCGACCCCTTCCCACACACACACCCCATGTCATCTGACCAGGAATCTGTCACCCTAGCAAAGACTCCAAAATCTGTGATCCAGAAAGGAAGGGGCTAAGGGAAAGTGGTTCACAGGTACCTACTCTGGCTCTCATTAGTCTGTTTTAATGGAAGGACGGTTAATTCAGAAAATTATGACAGGTTAATGGTAGCTGCCAAGAAAACTAATCTACTGGTGTAGAATGAAGGAGTAAGAATAAGGAAAGGGGAGGGGAGAGCTGGAAAGTCTCCTGGCAGCCTGCCTTTCTCCTCCTTACCTTCCTGCCGTCTTTTAGCTTGATGAGTAACTTGCCACCGCTGACTCCCACTGATTGCACAATGGCATTGGGCATCACCTTAACCCCCTCTGTAAAGGCAAACAAGATCTGAGGCTGAACCTATGACTCAATAACCTTCATGGGAAGTAGAGAAGCTGAATAGAGGTCCCCCCACTGTAAAACCAATAGTTATCAGTATGCAGGCAGCTGTCAAGAGCCACAAGAACCTATACCCACAGTTCATTTTCAGCACTTTTAGAAATTTGGTGCATCAGATTCAGAACACCCAGATGAACCTGGCTGATTGGAGAATGGTGGAAACATTTCATCTGCCAGGTGACAGGGCTAATGTCAAGGGGGTTCCCAGAGAAGCTAACTTTACCTTAGGCCACACTCAAAGGAAACAGAGTGGCCGCATGTGGAAAAAGTTTCTCTACCTCGTCTGACTTTTTCCATGGTCCAGTTGCTGAGGTATTCAGGGAGGATCTTTCCCATATTTCCTTTCTCAGGGAAGAGTTGAATCACTTCTGTGCCCAAGGCTTGAGCTGGGAAGAAGAAATAGGTAGTTACGGCAGGAAACCAAAGTCAATCTTAGGAAGGTAGGAAGAGAAGTAAAGGAGCAGCAGGCAGCCCTTAGTAAATGTAGGGCAGAGCCCAGTCCGGGTCGGAGCTCCTACTTGTGGGGTACTGGGGCATGAGGGCCTTGGTGCTCGAGTTCATTCAGAAGGCAAATACAACAGATGCCACAACTGCTGTCCCCAGATTAAGCTATAGACCGTGAACTCAGCGCACTTCCACCCATGCAGTCACCTCAGGCTTACAAAAGTGCTTTGCAACCTCTGTATAGGAAGCACCCTCCTGAGAAGATGCCCTGATTTCACATAGCTGAAGAATAACATTAAGAAAACTGGTTGCCATGAAACATTCAAACTGGAACTCACAGATCTGTCAAGCTGGGAACCACCATGTGCCTGAAGGAAGTTTTTGGCTTTTTATAGGAAGCAGTAGTTCAAAGATCCATACAGTTCTGTAGCCTGCACTGCCCTTATCATCTTAGTAACTCACTTTCCTTAATATTTTATTTCTAAGGAGTCCTGGTATAGAGGCTAGAGGAAAGGAAAGACAGGCATTGCTGTTAAGTTGCTCAGAGACAGCTTTTCGGTCACCAAGGGATCCCTCACCAGAACTAATCTCAGTGCTTAGCTTTTCACTATATAAACCTTAATCAAACTCTTTCTACCGCTCCTGGCAGACACAACTCTGGAGTTCGTGAGAGTACACTAAAAAATATGTGATATAAGACCAAAGAAAATTAAGGTCACTCCCTAATACTCACCTTTTCTGCCAAGAGCACAGGCCAGTTCGCTGCCAAGGAAGCCCCCACCAATAATCGTAATTGACTTGACTTCCCGTGAAATCTTCTCCAAGGCTCTAAAGTCTCCAATCTGCAGGATCACACCAGTTTAGTCCATTAATTTCCCAAAGGGGCACAGGATAATAATACCAGGAAATATTCTCCTCTAAATCTTTGACAACAGTAATTTGCACGGAACATCTTCTCCTTGTAGAAAGTGGCTCAATTATAGCCTCTTATGTTATTAATGCAAATGTCTTTCTTCACAGTAACATTCCTTCTATCAGTAGTGGCTTGCAACTGGTGGCAGTTTTGCCCCCTCTTCCCCAGAAGGACATTGGGCAATATCTAGAGACATTTTTGGTTTTCAGGGCAGGGAGGTGGCATCTAGTGGGTACAGGCCAGGGATACTGCTAACATCCTACAATGCACTGGACAGCCCCCACCACAATTATCCAGTCCCCAATGTCAAGAGTGCTGAGGTTGATATACCTTGTTCTATTAAAAACTTAAAGGATAGTATGAATCTTATCAAATATCCTAAGAGTGGCTGGAAAATTCCAGCAGTTTTTATAAGCAAAGCACAGTGTTAAGAAGCAAAATACTACCCCCCTTCCTTTTTACCTAGGTACTCTTAACTTTTCTCCCCAAAGTCTCCACACAGCACTTGCAGTGAAAAATGCCAAGAGGCTATAAGGGGTTCCAATGAATAAAATGCATCAGGAAAAAACAACTGTGGAAGGGCAATCATAAAGGAATTATAGCAAGCAATAAAAACACTACATGTATTTTTCTCCTAGGAGCTTAAAACTCTTGAGTGAGGTATTTGAGGTATAGGGAGAGGAAGTGACTTGCTCAAGGCCAGATAATGAGTCTGAAGAAGAGCCACAAATAGAACTTGGATCTCCCAATTCCCAGGTGGGTACTTGGGGACCACAAGATTATACTACCTCTTCAAGAACACAAAGAAAACACTAAAGCAGACAATTACCTTTCTGAAAAGTGTTGTTCTGCTCTTCACCTCTGCCCCAGCCCTATCAATGGCAGACAGACTTCTTGGAGTGCCTCCTAGAAACAAGAGGAGGAAAATCCTTTAGTCTAACAAGCAGGAGCTGGTCCAAACATCCCCCTATAAGTGGAGCTCTCTTCACTTAGGCTGCAGAGTGTGTGTGCTCCCTGCTGGTGCCACAGCAGCAACAGTAGAATACATGGCTTTGTTTTCCTTCTACCTCACCTCACAGCAGGCTTTTTTTTTTTTTTTTTTTTACCTATTTCTTTGGAGAAGCAAGATTTGAGAGTCTCTCCTAGAGAGGCCTACCCTCCCCCTAGCTGGCCAATAGGCCTCACTTTTGGCTTCCATGTTCTCTTCTAGTTTCTCATGAGGATTCACCAGTTAGCACAGTTACATGGGTTTAATCAACTGCTTCAGTCTCCTCTCTTGATTTCTGATTGGAACTGGCAATGAAGCCACGAGGCTATATCACTTTCAGGGCACAGGGCACAGGATGAAGGCTAAGCAGGGAGACAAAAAAGGGCAACTTCTTCAAGCCTTTACTGGGAGGAACAGCAAGGATAATCCAGAAGGGCTGGTGATCCAGGATGCCCAGACTTAGCCAGGTTTTGCACTGAGAGGAGACACCCACTTTGGAGAGTCTGGGTTTCAGTTTTCTTAAGACGAAGTAGTAATGCCTTCTACAGAGAAGGCTGGACTCTAAAACTTGAATGAGCTGTATCAGGGAAGAAAGCCATCTCCAGAAATGCTCACCTGTTGCAATCAAGCACTTTTCATAGGTTATTTGAGAGCCATCATTAAGTTTCACCATGTTGTCTCTCACATCCAGCTGTACTACCTGGTACAGTCACACACATACACAGAAGAGGTAGAGATGAATTAGCTTTGAAAAAAATCTTTATTGAGATGTAATCCATATAACATAAAACTTCACTATTTTAAAGTGTACAATTCAGTGGTTTTTAGTATATTCACAAGGTTGTGCAACCATCACTACTAATTCCAGAGAATTTCCAGCACCCCCCCACAAAAAAACCCCAGACCTATTTTCTTAGCTGTCAGCCCAATGAGAAGAATTAGTTCTTGACCTAAAGTGATCCTTAAGAAACCATTTCCAAGTAATCGTCAGAACCATACTTTCTGGTCCCCAGTTTCTTCAAGCAGTCATAAGTTTCTAAGTAGCCAACATTAGAGCAAGTCACGACAGTCCTAAAATTCCTGCTGGTTTGTAGAAATGGAGAACAGAAAAAGCCTTTTTTATTTGGCTGTTTGGAATGCTTATTGGTTTGTTAACGAGTTTCCTACATCCACAACATTTTTTACAGAATGCTTTTTCCAACTTCTTTTTCTTCTTCTTCTTCTTCTTTTTTTTTTTTTTTTTTTTTAAGAGACGAGGTCTCACTATGTTGCCCAGGCTGGCCTCAAGTGATCCTCCCGCCTCAGCTTCCTGAGTAGCTGGGACTACAGGAGTGTGCCACTGCACCTGGCTTGCTTTCTCCAACTTCTAACCTTCACTGAAACTTGGTTCTTTTTTTTTGGATTTGGAAAGGGTTTTACTGATATCTGTAATTCAACAGTGGCATTTATTTTTTTTTCTTTTTTATGAAACTTGGTTCTTTCCCAAGGATAGCTTACATGTAGCGACTGTTCATTTACTCACACTCCACATCACAAGGCCAGGAGGAGGTGTGGGTATTCTGCAGGCTTCCTGAGATTGCTGCTGCTGCTTCCAGATTCTTGTAGCTTTATTCTCCTCTGGTGGACACCAACCTAGATTCCTACAAATCACTGTTTTGAGCCACCTCCTGACCCTTCCTCATTCACTGAAGACCTTGGAACCTCGTTCATACTTTTCCTCTGAGCCGCATCCAGAATTTTGTTATCTCCTAAACCACTCCTACCTCAAATCTCCCTCTCTTTGGTCACAATTTTCCATCCTTTCAGCTTTCTCTCAGTCTCACTGTTTCCTATACTTGCTTTCAATTTCCTCTGTTTACCTGGTTGGCTGTTCCATTCTAACCAATCTGAGCCAATGGTAGATCTTCCAAACCATTCTCTCGCCAGCACCTTTAATTCCCTTGCACCCTACTCCTTATAGTCAAGAGCTTGAGCTTTGGAGTCAGAGAGACGAGGGTTTCAGTCTCTGCTCCATTCCCTACTATCTGTGGGACCATTCATTCAAGAAATATTTATTAAGCACCTACCATGTGTCAACCGATGTGCTAAATGCTAGGGACACAATAGTGAGAAAAACAGATATCCTCCCTGCCTTCAGAGCTTAGTAGCCAAGTCAACTTAACAAGCACTAACAATGATCAAGAATAATGAATGTGATATGAGTGCTGAGGGCAGTGCAGTAGCACTAGGAACATGACAAGTGCACCCAACCTAATCAGGTTGGGTTGGGTAAAGCTTTCCAGAGGCAATGACAGAAACTGAGGTGTAGTTGCTTCAGCCCCCTTTGATGTGTCCTTGGTAAGCTCCCTCTTCAATCCAATCCTGCTACTCGACCTCCACACTGTTCACTCTCAGATAACCACCTTACAGCTCATTTTATTGTGAAAACAAGTGAAGCCATTAGCTCTGATCTCCCTCAACTTCCCATGAGGGTTCCTACCCCCCTCAACCCCCCGAATAAAAACTTCTTCACATCTACCTTTACTTCCAGCTTCCGGATGAGGTGTCCTTTCTGTTCTGTGGTATCTGAACCCCCAATATAATGGGACATTTTACAATTCTTTTCTTACCAGATTCTTCTCCACAGTAACACTGTGGATCACATCCTACTTCTTGAAATTCCCCACAACCCTGCTCCTGTCCTGGGTTTTCCTCATGCTGCTCTTTAAATTCTTTCCTACTCTCTTTTATAGATTGTTCCTCTTAAGCCTGCCTCCCAAAAGTTGGAGTTCCCTGGGGTTCTATCCTTGCCCCATTCCTCTTCTCACTAGGTAAGTTCTTCTTGGGAGGCCTCACCTGCTCTCATGGTTTCAGCTCCTGCACATACACAGATAATTCCTGAATCTCCATCTGAGCCCAGACACACTAAGCATCTTATTCATATATCCAACTGCCCAGAAGATACCTTCACGCAGACATTCCACTTAATATTTAATGGTCCCAAACTGAATTTTTATCTTTCCCCTTAAACTAGCTCTTCCTCTTGTAATGTCTTTCTCAGCTGGGGGTACATGGCAATCCACTCAGACACACAGCTAGAAATTAGAAAGTCATCTTTGCCTCCTCCCTTTCCTTCATTTTCCACCTGCAACCAACCACCCAAAGTTTCGACCAAACTTTTCAAGTTTGCCTCCTAAGCATGCTTAAAGTCTATGCCCTACTCTTCATTACCTTTCTGTCAGGAAGTAATACACTGTGCAACGATGTTACTAAGAGCTTGGGCTCTGGCATCAGAATGTTTGGGTTCCAATTTTGTGGCCAGACAGACCTGGGCTCAAATTCTGTCTCCATTGCTTTTTAGCTATGTGAGTTTAAGAAAGTTATTTAAAATTTATTTTTTAAAATCTCAATTTCTTTCTCTATAAAATGGAAATAATCATACTCCTTTATAAGATCATTGTGGGCCAGGCGCAGTGGCTCACGCCTGTAATCCTAGCACTCTGGGAGGCCGAGGCGAGCAGATTGTTTGAGCTCAGGAGTTCGAGACCAGCCTGAGCAAGAGCGAGACCCCATCTTTACTAAAAAAAATAGAAATAAATTATCTGGACGACTAAAAATATATAGAAAAAATTAGCTGGGCATGGTGGCGCATGCCTGTAGTCCCAGCTACTCGGGAGGCTGAGGCAGTAGGATTGCTTGAGCCCAGGAGTTTGAGGTTGCTGTGAGCTAGGCTAACGCCATGGCACTCACTCTAGCCAGGGCAACAGAGTGAGACTCTGTCTCAAAAAAAAAAAAATACAAAACAAAAACAAAACAAAAACAAGATCATTGTGAGGATGAAATGAGCTAATACACATAAAGCATTTAAAAACTGTGCTTATAAGATTAGAATAGGTACTATATAAATTTTAGCTTTTACTTTTTCCACCATCATCATTACTACCACTCCTAATTTGGGCTCTCATCATCTCTTGCCTAAATTATTGCAATCTTTTAATCTTCCAAATGGTCTATCTGTAGTCTTTCACCCTGAAATCCATCCTCCTCACAGCCGCTAGTGATTATTTAAAATTCAATTGCCTAAAACTCAGCCCACTTCCCCTCCCCATATAGCTCAAGCTCTTTCACATGACAAACAAAGCCCTCTATGATCAAGCCCCTGCATAACTTCTCAGTTTCATCTCTTGCCATTCCCTAACTTGTACCTAACAGCTCTATCAGTACCTAGCTGCTTGTATTTCCTTGCATCAAACATGCTTTTTCGTATCCTTGCGCCTTTGCTTATGCTGTTCTTTTTTACTTGAATGCATCTTCATCCATAAGACTTCCCATTCTATAAGACTTTCTCCTCCAGGAAGCTCTCCCTGAAACCATCACTCTACTGGGCACTGTTCCCAGTAATTCCCACAACACACTATGCATGTCTCTCTTACTACACATCTATGTGTTCATGTTTCTGCCTACACTGTTAGCCTGTAAAGGTAGGGCCTATTATTTACACACAAGGGATACTTAACACAGAATGTCTCGTTACCAGCTTAGCCACAAACCTATATCCATCTTCTTCGCCTAATGTCCCCTTATAGGAGAAGAAGTGGGCCTGTCCCTACCAAAGGTCAGTCTCTCTACTTGTGCTCTGGATTCCATCTATCCTGGGCTTTGCTAACTTCAGAGAACTCCCTCTCTACTAGAACATTGCCATTAGTTTACAAACACACTCTAGTACCTCCCATTAACAAAAGCAAAACATAACACAAAAAAACCCTCCTAGGATCCCAAAACTGCCCTCCAATAGGCCCTCCAATAACTGCCCCCATTACTCAGGCACTCGCCTTTGTGAAGTCTAACAGTATTTTCCATGCTCAGTTATGCCTGGATTATTTTACTGTCCTGAATATATATTTGTCAATCTCTTGTCATCAGTAATCCCAGAGAAAAGTTAGCGTGGAAACGTAGGGAGGAAGAGGAAGGGCAGAAGCACAAACAGGAGCGGTAACAGCTTTTAGGGTCATGGTCCCCAATGATTTGACTTCTCTGGGAAGTTTAGCTGGCATGCTACCCTAGGCTTTGATACTGGTGCTTTCCCAGAAAGACACATTAAAGTGACTTGATCCTTCTTTGATGAACTACAATAGCAAGACAAACATAAATGGTAGTGTTAACACATGCCACCACACTTGCTGGCAGGCACATATGTAGAGCCTGACCAGGGAAGCAGTCTACTAGCTTACCTTCTTTCCAGTGAGGACAGCCACACCACCATTCTCAATGTGAGGTAGGTCCTGAGCAGAGACATAGAAAGAAGGTGGCTGGAAATATATGCTGTATGGAGAAGAGGGGGAAAGTGTTAGAATCACCTGGAAATGCAATCAGCTTCCCACATAGCTTTAATAAAAGTGTTTTCATTATGGAAAACTTTTAGGAACATTTTCCAAAGTAAGTCTCCAAGGCTGCTAAATCTTGGTCATGACTTGCTTATATAGAGGTACTCCAGATCCATGCTTCTCAAATGGGGGCAATTTCGTCCCCAGGGGACATTTGGCAATGTCTGGAAACATTTTTGGTTGTAACAACTTAGGGAGGGATGCTACTGATATCTAGTGTGTAGAGGCCAAGGATGCTGCTGAACATCCTATGATGCACAGGATGGCCACTCGGCCACAGCAAAGAATTATCTTGCTCCAAATATCAACAGTGCTGAGGCTGAGAAACCCTGCTCTAGATTTAGGTTTATTTCAAAGTAAGAACAAGAGGTACCCGAGGAGCTGAGTAGTCACATATCTATCAAAATGGGTTGTCCAGAATGGTGCTAGTCTATGGAACAACCAGCGAGCTCCTGAGAGGATTCTGCCTCAACCAGTTGATTAATTAACCATGATATACCAATTAAGGGGTGCCTAACTTAATTGGAAGTATGCATCCTGCTTGAAAATGGAACATGATGGTAGGGGTGAGGGAGGAGGGGAGGTTTGTAAAATTTAGTCCAGTATCAAAGGGACCGCTAAATGAGAAAAAAATTGGAACTCAAAGAACATGGCACTAGAATCAAGATTTAAAGTGTCCTTTAGAAGAAAAGGCTTCTGGACCTGTGTCTTCAAGTCTCTCGTGCAAACATTCTAATAAAGAGGCTCTTCCTTACAGTTCCCACTCTACTCCCACAGTTTTGAATGCCTGCTAGGGTATCAAAGAGAGTGCCATTAAACTCCTTCTTTTCTTTTGCTTTTACAGGACATGCCCAGGCAAGCATAAAGAAGTGACAACATAGGCCAAGCTGATCTTCACCAGAGAAGCGTAACTTAAAGGTCCCAGAAATAGGAGCATTAGTATTTCAGAGGTCAACATTACACCATCAATTGCTGGTAGATCTGGTAACAGAATTCAGGACTCTTGCCCTTTGTAGCGTGTTGTCTCTAAGCTGTACCAAGTGTGCACCATAGTGGACTCCAGTATACAGCCAAGTCATCCCTCCTATTCACTGTACACGGTCAGTGGCAAAATCCTAACCCACCCTGTGTTTAGTTGAAGTTGTTAGTCTGGCCCATTTTTATATAAATGAACACACCTTCTCTCTTTTCCATTCCACTGTCTGAATCGCAGTGTCTTTGTGACATTTGGATCATCTGAAAACCATAATTCTTTTGAAAGAGGAGGTCGCATGTATGGCAGCTCAGGATCTTCAGATATAATCAGTACCTTTGGACACAAAAATAATGATACATAAAGCCAAGTCATTTAAGAGGTAAATGTCTAAGTGTTCACATTGGCTAAGTGCTTGCCAACTATACCCTCTGTGCCAAGCAAAAGAACGTTCACCTTACCCTGGCTCCAGGATCTCGAGCCCGGATGGATCTAGCTGCAGCAAAAGCAGCAGTGCCTCCACCGATTAGTAGGAAAGGAACATGACTTGGTACCCTGACTTGAGAAACTGGCTCTCCTTCTGCAGCTGTAAGTAATAGATCAGACAGGATGAATCTTCCTGAAGTCTCAGATGACTCCTTGCCACTATTTAAAAAAATCACCTTACACTCGTCTCAATCCTTTATATGAAGTTAGCAAAACATAGTACCTAAGCTAATCTTAACAAACTTCACAGTATCCTGGTTGGAGAGGAAAAGCAAGTATCCCTTTCATTTCACAAGTGAAAAATACCAAAAAGAAAAAAAAAAGGTGAATGATTTCACCAGTCATTCACTCATTAGGTCTATACCAGAATTAGGACCTACCTTAAATATTTAGTTATTTCTAAAATACATTAGAAAGTATACACTAGAAGGTATCTGTCCTTCCCATCAATTTCCTAGTGACCACCAGGAAGACATCAAGTTCAATTTCACCTTTTGTTAGCAACAAAGGGGGAAAACCCAGGAGGTCATTTGGGGATTATTACACAATGTTCAGGAATAAGGAGGTGCTACTGAAGAAAGCAGCACCAATCACCCACCCAGAGTTGTAGGGCTTATTAAAGGATTAAAACAGCCCTCTCTGAAAAATCAGGCAAATTACGTGGGATGGAAGTGATGGCTAGGGCTATGTGCTTTACGAAAATAAACATATCTTCAACAACTTGAAACTCTAAAGACTCAAAAGGAGAACAAAACAGACCAAAAGAATTTCCTCTTTGAAAAAATGGCTTTTATCTCTTTTCCAATAGTTATTTCCTCACCAAGGTTGCCTTTTAGGAGTCTAATATATAGAAACCAACCATAATTGTTACTAATTTTATTCCTAAACCCAAACTCCAGCCAAATTACTTTAACAAATTGCTCCCAGTTCTGGGGTAATACCATACTTTTTGGAAACTTACAATCTCACACCATCATCACTTCCACAAGATACTCATAAATCATAGCAAGAAATAAGGGAATACTCACCAGATGATGCAGCCCTTTTCTGTTTCTCTTCTGGTGTCAGCCCTAACCCTGATATTCTTTCATTGTATCTTTTTTTGTCATCTTTTATAGTCTTGTAGGCCTGCAGACCCAAACATGGACAAAGAGTATTTCACCACACAGCTAGCTCATACCGTAAGTAATATTATCTTTCAGTTAAATGAGAAGCTTTTGTCTACCTGGCATTAGTTCCTCCATATTAAAACCACTAAGGCAGTATATTTTATTAAGAAATAAAATATACTGGGTGTGGAAAGAAAATGCATCAACAGATGAAAATGTTTCAGTTTCAGATTTTCTTAGGCTCTCCGTAAAGAACTCTCATATTTATTTCTAAATGTATAGCTAAAGACAAAAATTTTATACTAGAAGATTAAAGTGCTAGAAAAGGGTAAACTTTATATCGAGTAGGGAAAGAGGTTTTGGACTATGCTGGACATTAGCTGTGAAATCCATCTATATGGTCCTGGGTAGGAAGCTGGAACATACATTTTTCTGGTAGATATTTCTGGGTTTTGCTGGGTACTCAGATAATGCTTGGAGACATAGCCACCTGTATCCTATTCTGATAGAGTAACTTATCTTTCCCTCAATGGTCTATCCCTTTCCTAAACTCATGAGGCAGAAGGAATCTCATTCAGAAAAACTATACATAGATATTTACTAAATGTCAAACAGCTGTTGTATTTCAAGTATACTATCTTCTCAACCCTTTCAAATTAAATAAGGGTAATCTTAGTATCATGACTAGTTTTTTTTTTTAACATACAGCACCAGAATTTGTTTATTGGAGACTTTTTTAAAAATGGTAGGTAAGAGTGCTCGTTTCAGCAGCGCATATACTAAAATTGGAACCATACAGAGATTAGCATGCCCCTGCACAAGGATGACACGAAAATTCGTGAAGCATTCCATATCTTAATTTATGTAACCAAAATGTTTGTACCCCCATAATACTCTGAAATAAAATTTTAAAAATGGTAGGTAAGAATGACTTTTTAAATTACAGCGCTTTTACTCTTTTGTACCCCATAGGGTTAACCAGACAGGAATTTAAGTGACCTTATGTCAAATATAATCTCAAATTAATTAATTGAAGGAGAAATTAAAGACAATCAGAAGTATCATAAAACATATTCTAAGAATATTTCTATGACCTCCTTACAGAGTAGCCCATTAGGCAATGTGCTGTAATTGGGGAACCTGGACCCTGCCTGAGATCCGGCTTTAACATTTATCAGCCTAGAAGCGTTTAACATATGAGAGGAATGGAGCAGATAGTTAAGTGCTATATGTTAAAAGACAATGGTTATTCCTTGAATTTACCACGAAATTTATCAAATAAATGAATTCAATTAACATTAATTTCAGGAAGAAAGTTTTTATTTTGGCATCAGATACTATACACAAGTCTAGTATTTACCCATACCTAAAAAATATTTCTTTTAAGAAAGGGACTTTTACCTAAAAAGATGGCTTAATCTGGTCAACATGAGTGAAAAGAGAAATAAACTGTGGCCATGATCACATTGTGATGGACACCAAAGATTAGCCTAAGCCCAGCTCATATTTCCTAATGCCTTCACACATGAAAGGAAGAGCAGACCAAGAAACAGCTTGAGGTTTAGTGGGGAAAGGGGAAAGAATGAGATTTGTCTCATATGTGTATGTGTAGATGTGTGTGTCTGTGTGTGTGTGTGCTTCTTTTACCCTTCACCCAAAGGTTTCTGTATTCCTACTTTGTACAGATTTCCAGTTAATGACATGAATACATGTCTGGTTAGGAAAAACTACAAATTTATGGAAAATATTAGTGGAAATAACTTTTCTAAAAAGGTGAACACGGTGGTGTTTATTCAACTTAATGGAATTTGAAAGGAAAACAGGTCATTTTCTGAGTGAGGCAATGAGATCCTATCAGTTTAACAATGGCAAAGGACCCAAATACTAAATCTCATTAAATATTCTACAGGTCACTTTGGCTCTGCCGACTGACAAATAACAGAAGACCAAGATTAGGGGACCTGCCTATGGTCCTAGAGAATGTCACCAGCAAGAGGAGGAAAAATTCTCACATCAATGACAATCAGTTCATTTTTACAATCCAAGCAGCAGAAACACTGTTCAAATCATTGTTTCTCAAACTGTGGTTATAACCCATTAGTGGGCTGTGAAATCAATTTAGTAGGTTATGACCAACTTAGAAAAAAACACAAACAGAAGAGAATAGAAACTATTAGAGTATACTGTACCTAGTAAGAGCAGCATTTCTTGAAACTTTTAGTTTTATGTATGTGTAGTTATCTAACGGGTTGCAAGATTCAATGTATTTCTTTCTGGCGACGATGGTAAAAATTTCAAAAGTCCACTGGTTTACTCCCTTCTTTTTGGGGGATAAAGTGGGAGGAAGGTGAAGAGCTCCCAATATAGGAATTGCTAAGGTAGTATTTATACTGAAATTAGGAACATTTCCTCAAGTGAGAAAAAAGTTATATAGGAACACTGCTATGGACTGAATGTCTGTGTTCCCTACCCCACCCCCCCAAAATTCATATGTTGAAACCCTAACCCCCAGTGTGATGGTATTTGGTGATGGGGTTTTAGGGAGGTGATAAAGGTTAAATGAAGTCATAAGGGTAGGGCCCTAATCTGACAGGGCTGGTGCCCTTATAAGAAAAGGAAAAGACACTAGAGCTCCCTTGGTCACTCTCTTTAGCCCCCTCCCCACCCCCACCATATGTGGACACAGGAAGAAGGTGGCTGTCTGAAAGCCAAGAAGAGAGCCTTCACCAGAAACTGAACCCTGTCTGACCTTAATCTTGGACTTTCCAGCCTTCAAAACCATGAGAAAACAAACTTCTGTTGTTTAAACCACACAGATCGTGGTATTTTGTTATGGCAGCCTGAGAAACTAATACAAACACTAAACAACTTATAGCCATGTCTCATCAAATTCTGAACACTGAACTTAACTGTTCTCTTGAGATTAATATCAATTTCAGAGAAAAAAAATCTAAGCCACCTCTGATCAAGTTTTCAATGATTTAAAGCCTAAAACTGTACAAAATAGTTTGATAACAGTTGTAGGTAGACAAAAGCTTATCATTTAATTTGGAACCACTATAATATAGTAGCTTTATTATTACCAGTGTTGGATAAACACAGAGTGCAATGAGGCATTTAACTGAATGGCTTGAGAGGAACTTGTGGTGCTTAGATATTTCTAAGGCAGGAGAAAGCAACAGTGACTGGCCCTGTCTTGTAGCTTGCCATCAAGAGAATTTGCATGGTCAACTCTGTGGAGGCCATCCAACTCTGGTATAGCAACACAAACCAGAGGTTTATCAGGTTTAAATTGTTACAAACATATTGAACACATACACTTTAAATCTATTTTTGAATGAATGGGGTGGAACTGAGGGGAAAAGTTGAGAGAGAGATGAAATGGAAAAGTTAAGGCTCAGAAAGTAGTATCTGAATTATGAATGAGAGGCATTTAAGAAAGCAAGCTATATGAATGTGTTAGCTTGTACCATGTCAGCCACTAGTTTGACCAAATTAGAGATTACGAAAGGGACACTGCCAAATGAATTTATTTTGAAACAGAGGCTGTGGGTGGGTGGGGAGAATATTACAATTTCTATGGCTTTTTGGACCTCCTCAGAAGCATTCAATAAAATGCCTTTTCACAGGAAAAGTTGGGTTGTTTCCCACAAAACACAAAAATTACATTTTACCTAAAATGATTCAAAATGGGGTTGCTATTCAACATTTACTCTTTGAGACTGTCTTGTCAGAGATGCAGCACTAAAGCACAATATAATTTAGCATCGTAAAACATAATTATGAAATTGGCAAAAAGTTTCAAAGAAAGAGTTGATGATGAGGATTTGTAACAATCATCAGATATATCTGGTAGGACTTCAACATTTTGAAGAATGAGATTTAAGGATTCTCTAGCAACTGACAATGTCCCTTTAATAAATACCTAAAGAAAGCACATGCTGTGAATATTTTTGTATTCTAACGGATCAAGTTTTCATTAGTGCCATGGTCTCGCCCACCCCACCCCAAAATATACTTTAGTGTAAACATCTTACATAATAAACTCCTGCCCCAGTCACTGTTGCTCCTATAATTAAGAAGTATACTAGGCTGCTGCCATCTTTCCCAGAAGCACCTGTAGTCGCTAGTGATCTAGAAGGGGATCCTAGGTGATGACACTGCACAACTGTAGGTAAAGGTAAGGCCAAGGAGAAAACAAAAGGAAATAGAAAGTGCACTAAGTATTAATGAAGAAATATTCAATACAAAGGCAGGGAAGCAGTTTTGGTTATCCTGTGCTAAAAAAAAGAAAAAAGAAAAAAGAAAAAAATGCTGCTCCAGGATTGGAGAATATATACTTCCTCAAAGCATCTAATCACACAGATCTCATGTATTTCTTACTCTGATTTGACTCACAGCTGGCAAGAGCTGTCTACTTTTCTTGTGCATTTGGGAGTCTGGTCAGAGTACAAGGATCTAGGTAATGTCAAGTAATTTTGATATCCCTTTTTTTTAACCCAGTGTCCAAGGAACAAAGTTCACTGTCTTACCAATGTAGAAAGAACTACAATTGTAATGGCATCTAACCATTTGCTCTTAGCCAGTAAAACAAACAGCTTTCTTCAATCAAGGCTGTTACTAGGTGTTATCTAAGTTGGTTCACTCAACCTTACAGGATCCAACTTTAGACTGATCTGCTTAGTCAAAGTAAACCCTGCCAAATTAAAAAAAAAAAAAAGTAGAGAATAATTCCTCTGTGACCTGCTAAGCTGATCAGAGTTAATTTAAGAGGATATAATTGTGCTACTATTACGTAGCAGTTAAACACCATATTTCTCACCTCATACAAACTCCATTCTAAAATCGGAGATTCTAGGCCTGCTTCTATAATTTAGTCTTTGGGTGAGATTCAGGGATAGTTTTCCTTTTAGGAATGCTTAATATTTTTGATTGAAGGCTGTTGTTTTTAAATGTCAATCTCAAGCTGAGGAAAAATAAAATATTTGACAAATAAGTCAAAATCGAATATTGTGCTAAGGAGCTGCAATGAACTTTGACTTTATTCACAGGTTAGTGTGTCACATACAAGAGAACAGGGACAGTTTTGTGGGTTAGTCAAGTCTAAGAAAACACACTGACATTCAAGTAAAGAGTAAAAAGACAAGCGAAAAGAGCAGAAATCAATCAACATGAGATTAAATTTCAGTCATTCCCAAATTGGCTCTGATAGGATATTACACAGTAGGCACTTTAAAGAAGGCTTTTTGGAAATTTTTCCAAAAGGAGAAAGGGGAATTAGTTGCAAAAGTTTTAAAGCAGAGTAGTATTGAGTCTATTAATGGGAGCTGTTTGGCAGCTTCTTCACACAAGCTGCTTTTCTACTTACATATGCACCAGCTCCTATTGTTGACAAGCCCACAATAAGGACTAACACAGAATTATCGATTTTGCCCCCTGATGCACCAGAGCTAGCCATTTGTCTTGTCATCTGGAGTTCTAGAGGAACATGCCATCGCTGGAACAAGTTGCCTAAGGAACATAATTTATTAAGACACACACATACAAAAATAAAATAGTTAATACATGTTTATGATTAAATGTCAATGCATTGAACAAGTAAAGACTTATTGCCTATTGGGCTGCAGGTGTTCACTGTTAAATGACCAAGAGAAATATAATCAAAACTGTACACATAAATACTACAGATATCTGAATGAACATTCTTAAGTTGCTGGAGTTTTTGAGAGTATAATTTAATGCCACCCAGTGAGGAAATTTATAGCTTCCAGAAAAGATCATGAAAAATGTACAAGCAGTTCAGTTCATCAAATACCTCCTTTCATGTCTTCCCCATAACTGAAGTAAACACAGAGAGATGAATGAATAGGTAGATATACAAAGTTAACAATGGGCTACCTCGGACACTATAACAACCATTTACAGAGTAATTTAAATGGCTCAAATCTTGCACAAAATAAAACCCTGCAGTGCAATCCAACCAGGACACAGTTCGGTCTTGTGTAAAAGACAATGTGTTCTGGAAGATAGAAACACTAAAGCTCAGAAGAAAATCAGAAAACATTAATACTGATCTAGCTCTATCACTTCTTAAAAATAAAAAAAGAAAAAGATAGATAAAAAATTAAAGAAAAAAAAAGAAAATCAGAAAACAAAATTTAAAAATGAATTTATCTCCCCCAAAGAACTGAAGAATTTTGGACTATGAAATAATTTTTAGAATGACAAAATTTAAAGTGTCCACCAACTACTTGGCTCTTACTCCTCCAAATAAATATGGAATATTTTGATGTAAAACTATGTAGACCTAAGTAATGATCTGGTGATCATAATAACACTCGCACATGGAAACACAAGAGTTTCATAGGTTTCTTTCTCCAGGAGGGTGCTGACATTTTCAGGTGAAAGAAGATCTCGGTACCTTCTCTGCTTGCAATTATTCCTGTTTGTGGACTATCAACCTAGAGCAGCACATTTTTTCTGCAAGGGACTAGACAGTAAATATTTTTAGCTTTGTGGGCCATTTTGTCTCTGCTGCAACTGCTCAATTCAGCTGATGCTGAGTAAAAGCAGCCACAGACAATACATAAATGAATGGATGTGGCCATGTTCCCATAAAACTTTACTTATCAACATTGAAATTTGAATTTTATTTCATTTTCATGTGTCACAAAATTGTCTATTTTTTTCCCAGCCATTTAAAAATGTAAAAACCACTCTTAGTTCATGGGGCATACAAAAGCAGGAGGCGGCTGACTGGGTGTGGCCTGTGGCTATAGTTTGCAGACTCTCAAAAGCACATCAGAATCCCATGGAGGACTTGTAAATACATAGCTGGCCAGGCCCCAGCCTCAGAGTTTCTGAATCAATACAACTGGCATGGGGATCAAGAATTTGCATTTCCAACAAGTTCCTAGAGGATGCTGCTGCTGCTGCTGTTATGATGGGGGACCATACTTTGATAACCTTCCGTCTAGAGGCTAGTACATATGTTGCTGTGCTGACTAGGTTTTAAAAGACAAATAGAATGGGCATTGGTAGTATCATCCCATCTATACTTATAGACATTAGAAATAGGGAGAGTTCAACTTTGCTTTCACAATGTCAGGGCACAGAGGGGTAAAAACAAGCCCAATGCAGATCTGCAGTCTCTTATTTGAAAGCCTTAGAACCGTGAGTGTTTCAGAACTCAGGATTGTTTAGTCTTAATTATATAGTGCATATACCACACAGCGACACCAAGCACAGTAAAGGGCAGCAACCCATAGTCAAACACGTTGATATTTGTATGACCACACTGAGATGTTAAAAAGATTATAAGTAGCCTCTTTCCAGTTCAGGTTAAGTTTTAGTGGCAAATGAATTGCAAAAACCTGATGGTCCTATTTTGATTTCTGAATTATAGATAAGAGAGTTTGGGGCCAGATGCCGGTGTAATCCTAGCCCTCAGGGAGGCCAAGGCGGGAGGATCACTTGAGGCCAGGACTTCGAGACCAGCCTGAGCAAGAGTGAGACCTTGTATCTACAATAAATAGGAAAATTAGCCAGGCATGGTGGCATGCCCCTGTAGTCCCAGCTACTAGGGAGGCTGAGGCAGGAGAATTGCCTAAACTCAGGAGTTTGAGGTTGCTGTGAGCTATGATGACACCACTGCACTCTAGCTGGGTGACAGAGCAAGACTCTGTCTCAAAAAAAAAAAAAATGTTTTGGATCTATACCCTTAGAAAAGGAAATGTATTTTTCTTATTTCCTACCTGTTTTACAATCCTTTATCACCACATGAAATAAAATGGTTTAAATTTGGAAATAAAAACAAAATATGAAAACAAAAATCTGAAGGAGGGAGAAGCTTATCTCAATTTGGGCAAGCTTTTGATTTTCAGAAGGCCACAAAAATGATGAAGCATTAAAAGTAGAAACTGGGCCGGGCGCAGTGGCTCACGCCTGTAATTCTAGCACTCTGGGACTCCGAGACAGGAGGATCGCTTGAGGTCAGTAGTTAAAGACCAGCCTGAGCAAGAGCGAGACCCCCGTCTCTACCAAAAATAGAAAAAATTAGCTGTGCAACTAAAAATAGAAAATTAGCCGGGTGTGGTGGTATGCGCCTGTAGTCCCAGCTACTCAGGAGGCTGAGGCAGGAGGATCGCTTGAGCCCAGGAATTTGAGCTGTGAGCTAGGCTGATGCCATGGCATCCTAGCCCGGGCAACAGAGCAAGACTTTGTCTCAAAAAAAAAAAAAAAAAAAAAAAAGTAGAAACTGATTAACTCTCAGAGCTTAGAAAATGAAACCAGTTAGGAAAAGCTCAACGTGGTTAAGTTTAGTTCAACAAATTTAGTTTGTCTTCTACCTCCACCCCAGGTTCATTTACTAAAAATAAATGTTTAAAAAAATTCTGTTTACCTCTCTAGAAGACCCTAAATATAGACATCATAATTAATTTGTTTTAATGTATTACTGATGTGTTTATTATGTTTTTGCTTGCATTTCACAAACTGATAAAACTAAGATTGTAGATTTGGGAAAGTTTAGCAGCTTTTGCCTCAATTTGCCAAAAAAAAAAAGAAAAGAAAAAAGACATTTAAAAGTAAATTGATTTTTTAAACTGATAAGAACAGATACCATAAATCCTAAGTGTGAGGAAGAAACTGCACTTCCTCACACTCGAGCTTAGCCAAAAGGCTGAGAAGCAATCAGTAAGTTGATTTTTTAGAAAGGAAATTGGTTAATATTTAAACTACTGACTGCTTAAAAAGAAATGTAATACAACCTTATCATTGACAAACCAACTTTTTACATACCTACAAAGTGACTAGTAACTTTAATTTTGTAAAAGATATTAAGTATTGTATGTTTACATCCTCCCCATTTTCTTTTACCCATAAAATTACTTCCATACCTTTCTCCCCACGGCTTCAAAATTTTACATCATGACTGAAACATGCCTTTTCAGTTGTCTTACTAATGTGGGAAAAACCAACTTACTCCTTGACTTCTCATTATTGAGCCAGTTCACTTGCTTTAGGTCTTCTGCAGTCAGATTACACATACAGTGTAGTTTCTCCCTCACACTTAGGATTTGCTGTGTGCAACAGTGCCTGACACAACCAATTTGCTGTGTGCAACAGTGCCTGACACATAGTAGGAGTTTGTTCAATAAATATTTGTTGAGTTAGTGAATGAAGGAAGGAAACAGAAGTTCTTCCTAATTCTACTGATATTGACTGAACATTTTATTATTATTTTTTTTTTTTAGTGACAGGGTCTTGCAATGTTACCCAGGCTGGCCTTGAACTGCTGGGCTCAATCTATTCTCCCACCTCAGCCTCCTGAGTAGCTGGGACTACAGGCGCTCACCACTGCACCCTGCTGACTTAACATTTTAAAGAATTCTTTCCCAAGAAGTTTTAGCCAGATCCTATTTATTTCAGGTTGCTTAATAATAAATTAGTAACCTCGCACACCACATACTAGCATTATAATAGTACCTAAACCACCAAGTTCATTTCTGTTGGTTTCATAATCTGTTTTTCCATACTCCCAGATGGCCTTTTCCAGAAATACATCCTCATAATTGAGGCATCTAGGAATCCCAAATGGTTAAGAGGTTATATGCTCTTGAGACTTGTTTCCTAAGTGTCAAACTGATTTTTCCAACATGGATAAAACACAGGACAAGACAAGCCTAGTTTGTCCATTGTAACCAGATGACTTTTTATAAGAATCCAACAACTATTTAACTTTATCAGCCTTAGTTTAGTATCAATCCTTGCTGGAATTTCAGGAGAATCAGAGTAGTAATAACTATAGTACAGTGTGACCACTCTGATGAAAGGCACAAAAGCAAAAATGATTTAGATGACAGAAAAATAAATCTAACAAATCTAACTCTGTTCTGCAAAATTAAGTCCTTTATAGTGCTGAATTAGGGTTCAGTCACTGAGAGTTTACTGTGTGACAGACTGGACAAAACGCTGAGGACACAAAAACAAATGGGACATAATCCATGTCCTCAGGTAGTATATAGTTTAGGAAGAGAGAATGGCTGCTACTATTCTAAATATGAGAATATGGGCTTGACACAATTCACAAGAAACTCAAGGTTGCTCAGTTTGGTTTTCTGATCCTTAGGTCAATGAAACAGAAGGGAAAGAGTCACTATTCATCCAAAACCATATTTACCAAACTTGCCTGATCAAATCAATTATATCAGCGGCTTGTTAAAATACAGATTCCCAGATTCTCATTCATTCTTATTCTCATTCCCAGGACTCTCTCCTAGAGAGTCTTGCTCGCTGTCATTCCCAGGACTCTCTTGGAGATCCTGGAGTAGGTTTGGAGTCAGTCTTCCACTTGATTCATATGACTAAGTAATTTTTGGAAACATGATCTAGAAGAAAGGTAAGACATGTAGCAACTCCTTCAAAAAGTTAGAATGTGTCTAGAAAATTAACTTATTAATTGGTTACAGAAAAGGTGGATTTCCCAAAGATTTTCTTCTGGAAAGCCTTGTCTCAGCAGAAAGAGTAGGGGAAGATTCATTTTCTAGGCTTCAAAGAAAAAGTGTCATTTGGCAGTGTCCAGGAAGCCAGGATCCTTGCCCACAAGGAGTTCAGTTTCCTTTTTAAAGAGGAGAGAAGGAGTCCACATAAAGAAAAATGTTCAAACATTTGAACCTTAGGTCAAGGAGCTGGCAACCAGTTTGATCCTATGGGCAGCACAATGTTTGGTGACCAAATAAAATGTTATAAAACAGAAAATATCTATTATCTAACCCATCTGCTTGCTCCTCAGTGCTGAATGCAGACATAGAGTGGTGACTATTAGTTACCCTCAATCATATCTAAAAGGAGGGAGAGCATCCAAATAAAGTAAATAAATAGTAGCTATTATGGTTTTAAGGCAAAACACAACACATAATGGAAGTGAACCTGACAATGGTGATAGATGTGGATGAGACAGATGCAAGGCGGGTTTAAAGGTAAGGAGGGAGGGAAATGGTATATAAATAAACATTGCCTCTTCCCCACTTGTGCAAAAACATACGGTAGATGCTACTATGTGAAAAAGAAATCAGATTAAAAGCAATCAGTAATCAAGCCACAAAAGAGTTAATTCCTAAAATGAGAGTATCATAATTTCTTTTTGAAATTATAACCCTACCCTCACCCATTTTTAAAGGGAGGTGAAGTCATATGCTGGTGCATGGCCAAAGGACAAAGAATAAATGTGTAAAAAGAGATGGATGGATATGTCAGGAAGTCAGAATATATTGTACAGTAGACTGCCTTCAAACAAAGCCATGCAATGGAAAAAACCATTTGAGTCTGTACTTTTCAGTAGTTCTAATGTCACCAACCACCTTCAAATGTCTAATAAATCAATTTAACTTTGCAAATGTATATTTAATTGATGAGAACTTTTGCTCAGACTCAAGAATACTGGTAAAAGCTGAGTCTTAAGCAAAATAAGTACACAAAGTTTGAAAGGCCAGTGTGGATGAAAATCTTCAGGTTATCTGAATTTCTGTGTAAATTTCTCTGCAACTTGCATAGAGCACCATCATTTCAATGCACAAAACCCACGCAGATGACATCCATTGATGGGGCATTAGTTTAAAAGCTAAGGCGAAGTTTTTTCAGTTCCAAGAGCAATATGTCCTAGGACATAACTCAGATAAACCCATCAGGAAACATTTTCTTGATTCACAGCAACTAGAAAAACTGTTCAAATGCACATTTGCAAAGACCCTAACAATCCAAGGGTAATATTTTCCACTTTTTATTTTTAAAGCACCCAGAAGGTGTTTCTGTATTGCGAAGGCCTCAAAAATAACTTCTGACATTGCAAAGGCAAATGTCCTGGGGGTGGACATTCAAAGATTGTTTTTTTTAATGTACCTCCTACAAGTGGATCATTCATTATCCCCATGAAGTTGTGCAGGTTGAAAATAAGCAGGCTGAAACCATGTTCGTATAAATTCATAGATATCTGGAACACAATGGACTAATTACTGGGAAGGGAGGTGGATTCATTCTTTTATGAAGTCAAGCTTTAGGAAGCAGTGTGGAGTTGTAGCAAGGGGATAGGGACCTAGAGACTAGTGAACTATCCTTAGCTCTACCTATTAATTAATTATGTGACCGTTGGCAAGTAATTTACCCTCTCTGTGCCTCAATTTATTATCTATAAAACGAGTGGGTTGAACTTTACCACAAAATCCCCTCCAGCTCTAAAATTTGATTAAACAATTTCATGGTGGAAAAATACAATGTGTTCTGCAAGCTGTTTCTTTGAAGCATTAAAGACTACCAAGAATTACACTGACCAAGCATCTCAAATAAATTCTGGGCCAATTCTTTTGGTGTCTGATGCACAAACGACTGACTCCTTACTTGCACCGCACCGTGTCTGTTTCATAGGACATTTAAATCTATGTATCTCATCTGGGGTTTGGAAGGTAGAGCAGGTAATGCCCTCATTTACACAAGAAACTTAGGCGTAGGGTTTAAATGTCCTGTTTAAAGTCTCACAATCGGTAAATGACAAAGTCTACTTGACCTCATTGTTCTAAAAAGGTGGGGTGGGGGTCACGGGGAGGCGGCAATGGACAATACGAGATGGCCAGTTGTTCTGTCATCCCTGAACAGCAAACCCACCCAGGAAAAGGCCTCAAGCCGACTACTGGGTTCAAATCTCTTGAAGGTCAGGTCAGCACGGCTGCGCCGACTCCTCTGCTTGCAAAACTCAGGGTTTCGGTCCCGCCAATTTGAAATTCACGCGACTGAGTGTGTTAAGTTTTATGACAGGGTGGGAGAGGGCTGCAAGTCACAGGGAGCCTAAAGCGCCCAGGCCCTGGGACACTGAGGTGGGGGGTGTCCGGGATGGGTCAGTCACCTGGGAGCCGGTTCCTCTGCCTCGGGCTTCGGACGCACACGGTCCGCACCAAGGGCACCAGCTTCTGCTTCAAAGCACCCGCCGCAAGGCCTCCACACCGGAACATTTCGGCAACCGCTACTGTGGACCTCCTCCTTCCTTTTCGTCTTACTCACCGACCGACGGGTCAAACACCGTGGGCCCCAGCCCGCTCCCCCCTCCCTTTACACGCACACTACGCAGGCTCCTCCTCCCAGCTCCGGGTGGGCATTGGACAGTGAAGCCGGCCCGCCGGAGCCGGAGAAGGGGAACGTCGACCGGAGGCATATTGCGCAGGCGTAGCACTCAGTGCTGCATTGCGATTGGTCCGCACAGGGAGAAGGTTCGCGCACGCGCTGAGGTGCCCGCACGCTTGCTGGGATTCCCGGCTCCCGTTAGCAAGTTTCTGCGAGTTGGTGGCAATGGGTTGGGTTGAGCGAGTTTGGGAAGCTATCCAGGGACGGACCAGTGGAGTCGCTTTGCCTGGCGGTTATGGCTGGTGCTGACGCTGTGTCGGTGATGGGAAGTGCTAACAGCACCTTACAAAGCGTGGCTACAGCACCGCACTCTGTCCTTTGTTTTTAGGCCACTAGTTACTAGGTACTTAAGCCTTCCGGATTCTCTTGCTAAGGTCCATTTCCAGTCTTTCCGTGGGTCCGAGTCCGGGAACCTGGCTTCCCAGACCCGGCATGTACTTCCATCTTTTACTACTTGCTGGCACTTGCCCACCTAACCCCTGTTTCCGGGACAGCTAATCATTCCGTGCTCTTTTCCCCTATTACTTTTATATTGTGCAATTCTGTGTCCTAGCAGCTGTACCAGGTGCAGTGGATAGTCTCCTGTTATTATGGCTTCGGTGCTTGAGAGCAAGGTGCTGGCAAAAAGAGTTCGTGCTTCACAGACAGCGTGAGAGAAGTCCTAAACTGGACTTTCAAACTTGTGGGAGGATTAGGGTGACGGGCTGAGTGTAAATAGGCGTTTTGACTCTGCCAAATGTAAGCTAAATTAGAAATAATGTTTTGGCTGTGTGCAGAACATAACGCGCCTTTTCCAAGGATTTGGGTTACATATTCATTTAACAAGTACTATTGAGCATTTGCCGCTTGGACTGTACCATGAAAGGGGCTCTGGTGGGTATGAAAAGTACAGACGGTCCCCGACTTATGACTCACGATGGTTCGAATTTTGATTTTTCGACTATGTGATGGGTTTATCAGGACGTAACCTCTTGTAAGCCTAGGAGCATCTGGACTTAAAGTGGTTCAGCTTATGTTTTTTTTTGAATTTACGACGAGTTTGTGGGGCATTAAATGCATTTCCAACTTAAGATATTTGGACTTACAATAGGTTTATCGGGACGTAGACTTATGGTAAATTGAGGAGCATCTGCATAGGAAGTGGTCACTGTCTAGTTGGGGAGATGACATACTGGTCATTTAAATAATAAATAATATCTGATGTAGTCCCAGAGCAAGAGAGGAGTGTGGGATGGAATCCCTAAGGAAGAACTTTTTGCAAGACGTGTTATTTGAGCCATGTCTTGAAGGATGAGTAGTAAAATTCAAATAGTGGAGGAGAAGGAACGATATTTCAGATGGTTAATACATTGGGACAAAAGGTAACATTTTTAATGGTTAAGCATGTTGACCTTGGATCCAGACAGACCCAGGTTGAATCCTGGCTCTGCCATTTGGGCAAGTCACTCAACTGTGCTTCATTCTCCTTTTCTACCAATCTCACAGGAGTATTAGGAAAACTAAATGAGCTAATATTTGTAGAGTGTCTTAGAGGAAGCACCATGCTGTTTGTTAAATTAAAAGGTATTAAAAAACAAAAGCCAGCACATTTTCAGGGGACAATGACCAGAGAGTAAGTACATACTTGGAAGTAGGGATAAGGACAGGTAAGTATGATTGGGCCAGATTTGAATTGGCAAAAGCGTTTGGCCCTAACCTTATAAGTGATGAAGTTACTTTTTTTCTTAGTGGAACAGGGATAGGAAATGAGATTACAAAGGCATTGTTTTAGGAGGTTTAATCCATGAGGTAGTCTTTATTGGGTGAAAATGATCCAGGGTTCCCTTACCCATTAAGCAGAGTACATTAGTGTTAAGAAATGCAGGCAATGGGTGACATTTTACCTAGAGCTGCTTTGAGGGATAAATATTGAAAATATCAATTTCAGAGCAAGGTAAAAATTATTTATATTTCCTTAATATTTTAAAGGCCTTATAGACATTGATGTTATTGAGATTTATAAAAACTAATAATTAACATGGACTGATTAAATACAAAGTTCATCGTATCTGTTGGTGAAAGAAACTTTGGAAAATTGCCAAAATCATGATAATCAGGTATCTATGAAAACAACTGCATACATTCAAAAGACAATCATTTAATAATGCACAGTTAACAAAAAGGCATTGTACAGTACATTTAGTTTTTTTGCAATAGGTGCAATGAGGTAGTTTCCTGTTATTTTAATTAAAAATTATATTTCATCTTTTTTTTGCAAAAGCAATATATACTCATTGAACTAATTCCAAAAATGTAAGTGAAGTGCCCCCAGAACCTCACCCCACAGAGGTAACATACACTTTTTGTTAGGGCAAGGAACTCATTTTGAGATACCACATTACCAGATATTAAAGTTTCTTCCTTACAAAGGTAGACTCAGTGACAAGTTTTTGCCAGAAGGATACATCTAAATAATCTTATGTGGATCTAATGTTGATTTTTTTAATATCTCTTTGGAAGTTGGCATTAATTATAGCTGTGAGTTGGCAAAGCCTCTTTCCACCTTATGTACAGGATGTGCCTAATTAGTAGTGCCCCCCCCCACACACTTTTTTACAGCTATTCTGTAAATATCACCAGAGGCATTAGCTTCAAATACAGAGGAATGATCTAGCAAACTATTATCTAGACATTAAACAATTAAGAACCAAAATACTGTACAATGACGATTGATATGTGGTACAATGATAATTGGCATTCATAATGATGACCTTGGATTAGCCAACTAAGATTAAATCCTTATCTTGATGGTTTTAATGTTAAATTGGTATAATCTAGGGTTTTAGAAATGGGTGACCCATATGTATGATAAAAGGGTTAGCTATAAATATATCTGCTAACTCAACTAATAACATTAACTAGAAGACCCCGTTTTGAGTAACTTGGACTTGGTTAAATAATCACATTCCAATTTGCTTTCAGATATATGGCTGATGAACTGAATTGTTTTCCTCTTAGTGGGAGTGGATTTAGTCACGTTTTTTCTCTTCCTGAAGCTCAGCCTCACATACATAAAGTGGCAGCTAACCTGTGCTGCTTTAATCTGATGTTAATGACATTAGCAATAATTCATGTGTCACTGCTATTGGCATATGTCAAAGTTATCTTAGCCTGTGAAATATGTAGAGGGAGGGGTACAGTCTTAAAAACAAACAAAATGGGTGCACTTTGTTGTATGTAAATTTTACCTCAGTAAAGTTGACTTCAAACAAACAAATTCTGACCCTGCAAATCACTTTTGGGAAGGGTATAGTGGCCTTGACCAAGATGTGTGATGATTAGTAAGCTTTGGGAAGCTGCCCCCTAATACCGTAAGGAAGTTGTGTTCATTTATCATCTTCCAAGCATAATCTAGGCTTCTGGCAAATTAGACCCAACCACTTTGTTCTACAGTCAGTTGCAGGGGGGCGAACCCTCCTAGGAATTCCCAATTCCCTTTGAAACCCCACCATTTTGGAAGGACTTATGGTTATATGGACGGCTCGGGAATGCAAGGCACCGTGGGGTTTATGCCATGTCCCAAGATCCCTCCACCTGGGCCTGTAATGATTAGCCCCAGAAACAAAGTCCCCTTTTGCTGGAGCTGCCACCACTAGCTTCCCCCCTTCTCTTACCCTCTCCCGCAGCGGGCCTTCCCCATTGGCCAGCCAAACACAACCGACTGCGGCAGCCAATGGGAGCCTCTCTCCTGAACATTCAGAGGATGGGTGCTCGTGGTGTGATGAGGGGAGGTTGGCGCCTGGTACGCGCCCCCCTACATCTGGCAAGTCTGTGACAGAAACAGTAACTAACACCCCCCTACACACGCACACTCGCGCCCCCTAGCTCCCTGCTCTCAGATGCCCAGTGCCCCGCAATCCGCTGCGTGTCTTGGCAGTACTCTCCCCGGCTGCCTGGGCCCGCGAGTGCACCTGCTTACTCAGTAAGACAGAGCATCCCTTTATCCCAAGGGTCGGGGAGGAGGGGACCAGAGCGGGGGAGCTGCGGAGGCGCGGCTCAGCTGCCCACTGCTCCCAAGGAAAAAGAGAGGTATCTTCGCCCCCCACCCCACCCTCGCCGAGTTATGTTGCTCCCAGGCTGAAGTGCTCCAGTGATGCTTTAGGGTGCAGCGGTCTTTGTCCTCCCCAGCTATACTCCCTAGCCGCTGACCCCTGTGCGCTCCGAGCAAGCGGGGGTGGGGAGCCGGAAACCTATAACATAAATGGGGGCAAGGAGAAAGAGGCTATCCCAGGGTGGTGTGTGCCGCTCAACTCACCCCCTCCCTTTCCCCTGCGGTCTGTCCCTGGGGTCCAGGCAGGGCAGGGTCTAGGCAAAGGCGCGACGGCGGCTTGAGGAGCGTCCGGTCCGAGGGCACACATAGGCAGAACGAGGCTTGCGGCTTGCCCATCTCCTCCATCTCTTCTCCTCTCCCTGGCTTTTGTGTCGGTGCTTCGGAGCTGCAAGGAGGGTGCGCTGGAGGAGGAGGAGGGGGCCCGGGTGAGAGGCACCCCCTCCACGCGCGCGCGCACACGCTGCGGGCGCACGCACACGCGGGCGGACACACTCACAGACAGGCACGCACACACACGCACAAAGCTCGCTCGCCTCGAGCGCACAACCGTGGCCGTTTTCTTTGTGTGGAGCCCTTGAGGGGGGTTGGGGCCCCGGTCCGGTCCCGGGGAGATGGCGCAGCCCATCCTGGGCCATGGGAGCCTGCAGCCCGCCTCAGCCGCTGGCCTGGCGTCCCTGGAGCTCGACCCGTCGCTGGACCAGTATGTGCAGATTCGCATCTTCAAAATCATCGTGATTGGGGACTCCAACGTGGGCAAGACCTGCCTGACCTTCCGCTTCTGCGGGGGTACCTTCCCGGACAAGACTGAAGCCACCATCGGCGTGGACTTCAGGGAGAAGACCGTGGAAATCGAGGGCGAGAAGATCAAGGTAATCCAGATGGTCAGGTCCGGGAAGGGAGGGACCTGGGAGGGGGCCTCGCCTGAGG